TTATAGCTCGCCGGTGAGTTTTACCGTAAGATAACGTTTGCCATATGTGAAGAAAACATTCACGCTTGGACTTTCAGAGAATGTATATCTGTAGATATTATCGCTAGGATCAGTTCTTTATTAGAGCCAATCTAATATTCTAATGAGGCGGAATGACTGCGCCACAATCCCAATAGATAAAAATTGGTTAGTTTACTGACTTAATTTTACTTTAAAAAGGTTCGAAAAGCAGATATAAACTGCAAAAAGGTCGAGTATAAAAGTAGTCTACTTTAAGAAATAACGTGCCTTATATAACAGACATTGTTTTTTGTCTCGTTTAAAATGAGAAAAAAGCTCTGATAGCGTCAATCCTACACGTGGAAAGAGTGTGTATATATACAGTAAAACCTCTCTATTGTGAACACCATTGGGACCGTCCAAAAAGTGTCCACTATGGGAAGTGTTCACTTTAGAGAGGTGACGCATGTTTTGCTGCAAAATGAAAAAAAATTTCAGAATGTCTGCTTCTACACTAGTCGTGAGTGAAATAAGAGCTATTCATTCTCTTGTTCATCTGTTTTTATTTAAATATCTTTTAGTTGAAAAAATCTTCAAATACAACACAGGATTGAGTTTTGTACAAAAAAATCTTCTATTGTTGTTTGTCTTTTTCTTTTCTGTCTCGTCCAAGTTATCATCTTTTCTTGATCTACTTTCATATCTTATTATAGTATAAATTATTATTTGTATTCGTTCAATATCACGGAAATGAGACATTTTTGTATATGCCGAAGAAATCCGAAACAATAAGCGAGTGAAATGGACTTCATAGATATATATATGTAGTTTAACTTATGCTGTATCCATGGATATGCAAATGAAAATATAATAATAAAATATAGAGGAGAACGAGCGAATAGAAAAATGTACTTTTTTGTCGGTGAGAGAGTATGATCAGTCGTGACACGTAAGAGAAAGGTTATAGACAGTAGATAGACATAAAAAAATCATTGCACGTGTGTACACATTAGAGAGGTTATAGTAGCTAGAGGGACTGTAAAGAAGTGTTCGTGTTCAGAATAGAGAGGTGCATTTCCAGCAAAAATACCTCCGTCGGACCGAGACTTTGTTCAACATAGGAGGTGTTCACTATAGAGGTTTTACTGTAAGATATCTTTTTAGACTCGAAAATGGGATCTATTTAGATAACGGAACAGTAGGGAACAATTTACTGTGTACATCCTCTGAATTTACTACCTGACTCTCTATTTATACTGATTTTTCCTTTTCCGATAAAGATTATAACAAGAGTAAAGCATTGTCTGCTCGCTTTCAAGTTTGATTGCACTATGTTCTCGAAGAAAAGTCCGAGTAAAACATGGTGCAATCGTAGATAACAAGCGGTGAGTGGGAAAATGTGGAACTAGTACGTACCGGTGCAACATAGCATGCTGTCTGCACTAGTAGTGCCGGCCTTTTTTCAGTACTATACTGGGATTTGTCTGTACGAGAGTTGATCAAGTTTCTCATCAGAGTCTTACAAGAATGTTATAAGAATAACGTCCAGTTTTGCTGACTCTTATGAGTTTCCTACGAAGTCTTGTGAGATTCTTATGAGATTCAGCAGAATTCTTGTCACTTTTGTGAAAGATCTTATATGAGAATTGTGTAAGATTCTTATAAGATTCTTGTAAGATGCTTACATGCTTCTTACAAGTTTCGTATCTGAGTCTTATATAAAGTACGTATTAAAACGACAGAAGTACCTTACTAGGGCTAGAGCTCTAATGTGATCTGGTTTACTCTGTTCGACGTGGTCTTCATGATTCAGTGGGCCTCGTCACTGACATGTAAGGACAATCTGTTGATGATAGACTTTAATCAAATTTCACCGAGATGCACTGATAATGTAGACATTAAAGTACTTCTGTCTTGGTAACAGGCAACTATCAATGTACCTTTTGCTCTATACATTAAATATATAAGTATATTTATGAATATTACACTTTTATTTTAATCTCTTCCTTGAAAAGATATTGTTATAAAGTTTGTCTTAATATTATTGTAGTTATTCTTTCCTTACAAATGGAAAGTAGAAAGAAGTAGAAAAGAAGAAATAGTATCAGTTCAAATATTGACAAAACATCAATTTTTACTATTTAAAGATACACATTATGTGTCATCTGAAATTTTTCGGCGAATGTCTTATTTCAAATATTTTGCCTGCATTTGGAATATAATAAGATTCAAATAACGAATGTGAAAACACAATTAAAGTATAAATCTACATATAAAGACATATATGTCCGTTCACAGATGGCATCATTACTCGAGAGAGGGGTCAAAAAAACACAGTCTTGATGACATGTGGGAGGAGAGTGAGTATAGTAAGTAATTTTCGCTCCTTAAATAGTTATCTGAATTTTCTGACACAATTGCATTCGATCAAATCTGCGTCGATACGATATTGCTTAGAATGACTATTTCAGTTAAGAAAATAATGATTGTCAAAAGAACGTTGCTGTTGTTGCAATGTTGTCATAGCGCAAGTGCATTACACATTCTCATTGACAGAATACAAAGCTATGGTTGAAAATTATGTTAAACTAACAAAACTAACTTTAGTCAACCGATCACTTTTCCATAGGAGACTTAAGTCAAGAATTTCTAAACTGGAACTACCATTTATTTATGTCAATAATACAAACTAATGCTGAAACAGATAGAATGCATCGAGTACTCATTGGATTAAGTTTAATTAATAGAGTATATTCTCTAACCACTACGGCAGCAATACATCGGGTTTATAACTTTAGTGTACGTCGTTTAACTTGAATATTTTTGAACGACATAATAAGATATTCTGAATAACTAAACAAAATTGAAATCCTACATTATGTGCGATTTAAAATACAACTTTTCGGCTGATTCTCTAGAAATCACTGGCTTTACAACAAGTTTTATCTTTTAGTTTCCGAAAACTTATTGCCAAGGTAACGCTCTACAATTGTTGTATTCTTGTTTTAAACGATCAGTGCGGTCTTAGAGTTGATAAAATAAAACAGTCTGTTAGTCCTCAGGCAGTCGACTAGATGAAACAGTTCAACACTCCGCTTTCTAGTGTTAACTGAACACGTTGTAGTAGGATTTGCACTACATTGATAGTGGAATCAGTAGTGAAGAAACACTGCTATGTTCTTCATAATTCATAAGGTGAACCAAAAAGAATTATAGCGTTAGTATTTTCAATTTTTCTTCTATTCCTTATAATTAAACGAGCAAAGTTTTTACCAAAATATAGCGCGTTCAATTCTCTACAGAATATGTATTGACTGGTTTATTACAAAATTCGAAGGTGAAAAATGAGATGAGAAATCTCATGAAGTACGAAAATTCAAAAAAAATAAAGTATTTTCTCATAGAGAGCTACGTTTTTTCGAATAGTTTCACAAGCATCAGAGCGCTGTCCGAGTATACTTTGTGTAGTTTTCAGTATGCTCTCTCTCATGGCATGCAATAAAATTTGTTTTGAGTGAAAATATTCGACGCAGACATTGACTTACGGGAAATTGAGCGAATACAGCAACTGATTTCTGATTTATCTACGCTTGATAACAAAGGAAGTTTTTTTTCCAGATCTTACCGATTGCACAATATAGACTTCATGCCGTTGTTTAACTCATTTTTTTTTGATGATTTTCATACTCATAAGAGTTCTCATTTCGTTTTCCATCTTCAAATTTTGTAATAAAACAGTCAATACATGGTCTGTAGAGAATTGAACGCGTTATATTTCAGTAAAAAAATCTGCTCCATTAATTATAAGAAAGAGGAGAAAATTTGAAAATCCTAACATTATAATTCTTTTTGGCCTACCTGTTACTTCTGCTTCACGTGATGTGAAAGATGGAATGTTGTAGAAATTCATTCACACTTATCTTACGCTGAATTCGCTGTATCCTTATTTAATTTACTTTGATCTTTTTGATATGCTTTGAAAATAGTACAGGTCTGTCTCAAAGCTGATCACCTGCAACGTGACGGGGCAGCTGTATTATTTTAATACAGAAAAAATTTAAAGTGTCAGTTTCTTTTAGTGAGAATTCTAGTGTTCGTTAATATCTTAGTATGCTAAACAAATTGTACAAAATGGAATGCAGAGATTTGTATTCATCATGCCGGTAATCAATTATCAATAATAAATAATTATAGAGTAAATCGAACGAGATGAGTAGAATAAAGAACAAAGAAATAAATAATTGCAATTTGTTTTCTTTTCGATCCACCAGTAATTCTTGTCACCAGTAATGTAAAAAATTCGACTAAAAAGAAACTAAAAAGAAATTCGGTACTTTATTGGTTAGTCTTAGAATTATTTAAAGGTAATCAGATTTCTTCGTTTATCTTCTTACAAAAAAAACTTTGTCGTTCAGTACTTGCTCGCCCGAAAATGTAGCTAAAATTCATGCTGAGAATAAGAAACTTTCATAAACCGTTGAAAAAAGCATTTTATCAAAGATTATAATAAATAAAACACCATCGATAAGTCTTTGTTAATATCCTCTACTTGTTTTCCTACTCTCACTCTCTTGGTACAATGATGTTCCTATCTCTCTTATGACTTTTTTTTGCCTACAATAATCTGAACCTCTTTCTTCTTTCTTTATTATTTTTTGAAACAATTTCCTACAGATAATATAACAATCAAATGAGAAAAGTGTATGGACACATCAAAATACATTTAAATTGTTGCATATCGGATGCATCTCATTCTCAATACTATTCGCAAATTCTTTTTTTGCCTCAATATAATTATACTGCATAGCAGATGTTCCTCTTTCGAACAATATATGAATCCTTAGCAATGGTAGAATACCTTTGAAGAAGAAGGAGAAGGGATGGAGAAAAAATGACATCAGCTGCCTCAGAGAGAGTATATATAACCTAGAAATGATGAGATCAGTTGTGAACGGTTCTTATAATTAAAGCCAGTTTTATTACGTACCATATCGAGCAATATGCATCTTTTATCTATATCGCTGTTATGGATAATCTGCTCTTCTCTTCAAGCGAATGACAAATATGGTTCATATTTTTACGCATTTGATGAGGATCCAACCGTACCATCGTGTGATAAGAAGCCAATTATGTTTGACTTAATGGTTGATTTTTTAATGATGGTTCAAGCAGAAGCAACGAATAATACACAACCATGTGTCCGGGCTGGCCTGGGTCCCGGTTTCTTTGTACCTCCATCAACCGCCCGATCAGTTCATGCTGTTGCTACCATTGCTTATAATATTTATGCACGATATAGTTCAGTTGCATTGCCACGTTCACAGTGGGATGGATGGGTTCGTATGAGTGCCAATACTAAAGCAGCAGATTGTGTTTATATCTATGGTGTTTATTTTATTGAACACTATTTATTACCGGAAAGATTAGAAGTACAAAAATTAAAAGAAAAATATGAACGAGACTTTGGGTGTACACTAAATTGGGTTAATGATGGTTCAGGTAACGCAGAGTTAGCATTAGTGTCAAAAGACGTTACACATTTAATATCGGAATTAGAGGACGATGGTTTTAATCAACGTGGTTGTTTTGCTGATACAACAAATTTTAAACCCATAAATCCACCATGTACCTTCGATAATCGAACAACGGTTCAAGCTTGTTTTGATTATACCACTACACATAATACGACTCTAAATTACGCCGAAATTATCAAACATGGCTATATTAATACTGCACGTTGTACAGCTCTATCACAATCTCAACGATGTAAAACATTTGCCTTACAAAAATTAACTGATTATCTAGCTCCACCTTTATTAGAAGCAAAATCATTTGAAAATGGAACATTTATGGAATTTGATGATCAATTTTTAGAACTCATTGAAATTCAGAAAGGCCTAAACGATGACAATGCAAAACCACAATTAATTGCCGAATATTGGGCCGATGGTCCAGGCAGCACAGCTACGCCTGGACATTGGCAATCTATAACATTAAATATGATACACCGATTATGTTATGATAATAATGATGCAGTGAAAATTTTATTTGTTGTAAGTGCAGCTACTTATGACGCTGGCCTAGCTGCATGGCAAAATAAAAGATTATTGGCATCATTCACATATTATGCACTGAACTTTAGTGATGACCGTGAAATAACTGTGGGATATGTGGGTAACGATTTTTTTCAAAATCATTATATATTTTACAAAATCCAGTGCTGCAGAAGTGTTGGTAAACAACAAAAGTGTTACACGATGAAATGATCTATTGCTTAGAGATCTAACACATAAAATATCAAATAGTTAAGAAGATATAACAAACACATACCCATTTAGTAAAAGTAAAAAATGTATCAGTTTCTGGAATTCCAAATCTGTAATTATTTATTCTGTTGATTATTATAATATCTTGGATAATAAATGACTGATCTTACATATTAATATGTACATGACGTAAGAGATGACGTACTTCATGGTTTCTCAGATTCAATAATATTTCTTGAGCAAATTCTTCGGTCACAGAATTCAGTAATTTTTATATGAAATCCTTTTACTATCAATTAAGTCATTACTTCGAGGCGGAATTATTTGTTTTACTCGTATGACTGTTCTGTCAATTTAGAAAAATAACGGACTCGATCACTTCTAAACAAATAAGCACATTTCTTTTATAAGAAATAATAAAATTGACTTTGTAGAAGATTATTGAATAATGATGTTGATTTCTAAATTCTTTATCAGAAACATTACGATTTTTTTATACGTAGATAGACTATATTGTTCTGTTTAAAATTAAATAAAGCGAAACATTGACTTTCCATGTGTTAAACGAAGCATCAACTTTAGTTAAGGTTAACCCTTAGAACATAGATCATCGACCAGACTAAGTCTTGTAGCATTACTCATTTGCATCAGAAGTTTCAAAAAGCTAATCTAAATCTAGACAGCCTAAGATCGGTTATTTGACATAAACTGTGGTAGATCCCGTCCTTTTCTTAGGCGGACAATACATATAAAATAATGTTAACCTACGAATTTATTGACAGTAGATACTGTCATATCTCATTTTCGTAAATGATTTTTATACTTTTTGTACGACTGATATGTCTACCTTTGATTGTACAGTTTACAGGACAATGGGTACTATTACATGTTAAAGATTGTTATATGATGATCATTAAGAAGCCAAAAAGCACATTTCGCAATACTAGAATCACATCATACAATTCTGTTCGTCCAGCTACATACATTCCAACACAAAAATTAAATCAAATCTTTACACAACAATTTCGTGGAATGTATTGTGATTTTGGTACTATTGAGGGATGGCAATGGTCCCCCTATCAAGAGGACAGAGTAATAACACCAGAATTTCAAGAATATATAAGTGGACATAGCACATTCTCCAGAGCAGCTTCTGTTGTTCTTGAAAAATATACAAAAAGTCAAAGTGTTCCTTACGGAGGTTTGGCAGTTACCATTAAAGCAGGAAAATCACTTTTCCAACCGAAATGTGCTGCAAATGAATCATGTTATTACGCATGTCGTATTAATAGTAGTCAAAATTCAGAGAATCATTATCAACCACAGGTTGATGTCACTTTAGGTCCTTGGCGTACATATCGAGAAATAGCTAATGAAGCTTCTATAAGTCGTAAATATGGCGGAATTCACATTGCTGCCGGGGATATAAATGGGAGAATCATTGGACAGAAAGTTGGAGAAATAGTGTGGGAAAAAGTCTCATCATTATTCAACGAAGATGCCACCCCTGGATCTGGCCAGAAATCATCATATAACCACAACTATTTGCTTTTAAGCTTTATTTTTGCTTTCA